GAGCTGAGTTCTTCATTGTTTGTTCCCAGTCCGGAAGCTCTGCTGGAACCTGTTTCCATTGGGTGACTGCCGGCATTTGATATACTTACTAGTGACAGTGTCCAGCGTCACAGCAACATACAAGCAACAGTAATGTCACAGTATGACAAACCAACAGACAAGTGGTGGATCTTTGCCTTTACTTATGTTTTTCATCTACTTAGGGCATCCTTCCTACTACACCAAAGTAGCTCTGGCTCATTTTTCAAGTTTAAGGATTACATCCTGCAGGGAATCTAGTGGAACCTAAGTCTTAACCTGATTCTTCAGGTACAGTTATACCCTCCTCTGGATATGGAGGATTGAAAAAGAATCAGTCCATTTGAATTACCGTGCTGGCAGTGAATATTGAAAGTGCCCTAGACTGCCAAAAGAATAAACCAATCTGTCTTGGAAGAAGTACAGCCAGAATGTTCCTTAGAAGGAAGGGTGGCAAGACTTCATTTCATGTGCTTTGGAGAGACCAGTCCCTGGAGAAGGACAGCATGCGTGGGAAAGTAGAGGGGCAGTGAGAAAGAGGAAGACCCTGACAAGATGAATTGACATCGTGGCCGCAATGATGGGTGGTGACGTAAGAACCACTGTGAGGCCAGCGCAGGCGTGACCGGTGGTGTTTTGCACTCGGTGTTGCAGTCATTATGAATAGGAACCGGCTCGATGACATCTGACAACAGCGACCCGCAGGAAGCCCCCTAGATTACAGGACGAATTGAGACAGTCTTCCTCTGTGGTCTCTAAGAGCCAACACAACCCCCTTTCAGTAGAGATGCAGAGAAAGACCCAGTGTCAGGTGTTCAAGATATGGTTATGATCAGAACTTGCTCACTAATGGAACCCATGGAAGAAGGAACAATTTCCCAGAACCACTAGCAATCATCATTCAGCCAATCAACGTTGAGGGAGTAAAAAACTATCAGAACCAGTCCGAGTCTCAAGAAATTCTCTGACCAATGAAGCAACCAGATGGGTGAACAAAATGTCACCAGAGTAAAATGCCACGGCAGGGGTAGCCACAGGCAGTCCCAGTGCAGCCAGGAGAATCTAGGGGGGCTTCTGAGAAGCAGCTACCCTTGAGCTGAATCTTGAGTGATGGCTTCAAGCAGAACGAAGTGGAACGTGAGTGCAGACTTACGAATCAGATAGACCTGGGTTCAAATCCTGACTCTGCTGCCTGCTTTACTCTTTGTTTTAAAAAGATAGTAATAGTACCCATCCCCTCAAGTTGTTATGGGTATTAAACGATCTTATTCACTGCCCTGGAGTCAATGCTGACTTATAGCAACCCTATAGGATAGGGTAGAACTGCCCCTGTGAGTTTCGGAGATTCTCTACAGGAGTAGAAAGCCCCATCTCTGCCCCAACGGCTGACCTTGCAGTTAGCAGTCCAACACATAACCACTAATGAGGATACAGTGCACTTGGTTCAGTACTTGGCACCTATAAAATGTTCAGCAAATGTTCTTAATATGTTTCATTCCTCCTGTTGTCATGACCTATGTCCATTTATGGCATTGGTCATTCACAAAGCCAAAGAGCCTGAATGACATCTTTAAGATTTCTGTCTCCTAAATGTTCTCAAATTCATCATTGTGGGATACAGAAAGATTTCTCCCAAGTTGTCTCCCCAAATATATGCCAAACCCAAGACGCTGCTTGCTACACAAAGTAAATGACTGTACACTAGGAGGTCAGCGAAAGTAGGTCAGAGGTTATTCTCCTTAAGGGAATCTAGAACAACCTGCCTGTATAGTCTGGCTCACCCTCAGTAGGGCCCACACACTTCTGATATTGCTCCCTTGAAGGAGTGCCCAAAGGCAAGCCTGGGACCACTCAAGGATGACTAAGCTTTGGCTACTATATTGAGTCTAGGATCCACCCATCTTGCCACATACGGACCCCTATTCCCTACCTTTACTATTGCGTGTACACCCCTAGGTCATCCCCCTCCTATTGCTTGTGTTGCCTATGTTACAACCCCTTCCTATGAAGTAAATTGTTATCTGTCATCAGAGGGCTTACATGCCCCCAGAGATATAAGCTTTGGTTAGAAATAAACCCCCCTGCTCTCTCTCCTGCTGGCTCGTCCCCCACCTCCATGTGTACCAAGAGGAGCTGAGGTGAGCATACCACCAGGAAATGTGTCTGACTTCTTTATTTTACTCTCTCGCTCCCATCTCTCTATGACTTCACTATAATCTCTATCTTAACTGTACAATTGTGCCTACCAAACCCGTGATTAGTTGTGGGGGGCTGGCTACTCCCACACATCATCATCTCTTATCTGGACCTCCTTAGCCGCTCCTTCAGTGGTCTCTTTACCTTCCCCTCCCATTCTGTTTGCAGGGTCTTCCAACCCCGTCAAAAAACCATGAAGCCCCCAGCTTCTCAAGTTCGCCCCCTCTGACCCACATCTCCTCCATATCTCCATATCTCTGGCCCAGCCCGACACTCATCGCCAACCTTGACCTCTTCCCACAAATTCCGTGCACGTGTGCCCTTCTATGCCTCTGTCCATAATTAACACCTTCTCTTTCTCAACTGAAAAATTCTAATCATGCTGCAAAACCCAAGTTCAAAGGCCCATCTAACAGAAGGATCTCTCGATTGCCTAGCTGTAAACTTCCTCTCTTGGTCTCCACAGTCCCTGTGTGCCCCGTGTGAGACCAACGCAGGCACAGGGGAGGGTCTAATTCTTCACTTACCTATGGGGGTCCATGCACCACCCAGGATGCAACACCAAAAAGAGACCTCGTATCACATGGGGATATTGTAAGCACCTTGTCCACACCAAGAGGGCCACACAAGCCGACACTGACCCGTTCCTCTGTGCCCACTCCCAGGCACTTCATGATCCCAGGAACCCTGGCCAGCTTTTGACCCATAAAAAGATAATGGAGAGAACCTTTTTGATGTGGTTTAAGTCGTTTCACTTTGCCAGGCTTCAGTTTCCTTCTCTGTAAACTGGGGGGGGTGGGGGTGATAATCATACATGCTCTGAGATCCCTCTAGTGCGCACCTCACCTATATCTCAATTTTAGGGACGAGAAAACTGGCTCTCAGAGGGGTGAAGTGGCCCAGACAAGGCCTCACTTGTTAAATCTGTGAGATGTGGACAACGAGCAATGAGAAAGCTGTGGACGGCGATTCCATCTGGGTGTTCCCAAATGGGCTGCCCACCATTAGACACTTGTTAAAACTCCCTCTAGAGCAGAAAGTCGCCTCCTCAAGTCTTAGGCAGGGCCCAGGGGTCTATAGGGATCGGCTCCAAGGTGATTCTCTTCGGGGAATTTCAATCACATGGGAGTCCATACTCCCTGCCCGTGGTCTCCTGTGAGCATATGTGTGAACTCTTGTTTTCCATAAATGATCTTCCAAATTAGCCAACATCTGTTCGTGCCACTACTCACAACCCTTTGGTGGCTCTCCACAGCCCGAGGTCCCAATCTGACACTCCTGCACTTGACCCCTGACCCTGCACGATCAAGCCCCTGCAGCCCCAATACCCCTGTCTCCTCCAGGACTTTGCACAGTTCTTCCTCAATCTGGAACATCCTTCCCAGCCCCCAGCCCGTCAGTGGGTAATTCCTAATCATCTTCCTGGTATTCACCCTGTATTTTAACTACTTAATGAGTATTTGTCTGCTTTTTCTCACACCAGAATAAGCTCTGAAAGTTCAGGACCGTGTTTTTGATAAATGTTTGCTAACTCAATGAGCGAGAACCTGTTGGTTCCAAGTAGCCCCAAGAGACAGTCAACCACCCTGGAAGGCTTTTCCTCCTGCCTCAGGGTGGCACACCAACCCAAGGAAGACCGGAAAGGGGGCTTTCTGGGAAGGGGCTGCCGCTCAACCTTCAGCGGCCCTTTCGGAGCTAAGGCAGCTGTGGAGTCCTCAAGTTCATGTCCACCAGTTAGCACTGTGACTGGCTATGTGCCTTAAGCTCTCCCAGCTGTTGTCGGGCTGAGCTGGACTACTTCAGGTCACCCTCTTGCTGGGTATACAGTGAATGTTCAACGCAGTCTTAGCCGTCACAATGGGGGCTTGGTTGGCATTAGGCTTCCCGAGAAAGTTCTGCGTTTGGTTCCCTTTCTTCTCTCCCCCATCCCTCCCCCACCCCAACACCTTAGTGCCCACTCAGAGAAGACATCAGAAACCATAGCAGTAAAAGATGAACTTGACCAAGCTGTTCTGCGGTTGATCAGCAAACACCGACCAGAGGGAGCACTGGGCTCAACAAGCAGCATTTGCTGCCTGTCTGATAATCATCATCACCACCATTACCGTGTTTAAAGGAGCACTGTGTGTTGAGCTGCTAATCGCAAGGTTAACAGTTCAACCCCACCAGCCGCTCCCTGGAGAAAGCTGAGACTGTTCCTATAGAAACCCCTCACAGAGTTGCTTGGAATCCGAATCAACTCAATGGCAGTAGGGCTTTGGAGGGCTGGCCATCATCACAGTCACACAGAAAACCCTCCGTTGACCCTGATAGGACTCTCCGTGGCCTCCTGTCTCTCACAGGCCGCTCGCTGTGATCTTACAGAAGGAGCTCGCCAGGCCAGGCCATTCGTCTGAGTGCCCCGTTAAGTAGCCAGCGCTTAACCCTTTTCATCACCCAGGGACACCTCTAATAACCACACTTCCGGTTTATTGAGCACATGTTGTGTGTCAGGCAGTGAGTGCTGCGCGTGTCTCTGGGCGAGCCCTGAAGTGACCAGAAGGTAGAAGGGGAGATGGCCTGAACCATGGGAGTGGGGGAGGGGGGAGATTCACACGGTCTTTGACTTTCTCCTCCCTCGCCCCTCCAGGAGGGTCCAGGTACTCAGTGGGACCCCCAGGGAGGCGAGATCCCTTTCTCCCAGCGGGTGCATGCCCACACCCAGAGCGTAGGCTCCCCACCCCTCACCCGGAGCCCCTAGGCCGGGAAAGAGGCAGCCTCTTCTCCAGAGAGCAGCTGGCTCCGAGTGCAGTTCCGCCGTTTTATTTTTCCTGGGATTCTCAAGGGGGTGTGGGAACAGCCACGGGTGTGGGGAGGGGAAGCCCCCATCTCCCCGCCCCAGCCGCTAGGAAAGGGGAGAGGCCCAGGCGCCCTGGTCCTGGGTTGGTCCAGCCACTGTGAGCCCTGGGCCCGGTGGGCTGCGGGCCGAGGGTGGAGCCCCGGGGAGGGGTGGGGGTGGGGGGCGGGCTCCCTGGTGGGGTTGGGGGAGTCTTCATAAAAAGCCACGAAGCTTGATCCCCACGAAGCCCAGCCCCGCGGGGTGGGGGAGGGACGCAGAGCCCAGAGGAGGGACCCAGCCCGGCCTGGCCCCTGGGGGGTGGGAGTGGGGGAGAGTCGGTGCCCAGGGAAGGAGGTGGGGACAAAGCGTCGGACCAGGAGGGAGGGGGTTCCAAGTGGGGGGCGCAGGGCGGAGAGGCCCGGCCCCCGGCCCGGCCCCGGCGCCTTCGCGTGGGGGTCAGGAAGGTAAAAAACCCACGAGTGTGACGGGCGTGCGGGGCCGGCGGCGCGGCGCGCGGACGGCCGGCGTTCACAGTGACCTCGACGCGGGGCGTACAGTACGGGGAGAAGGCCGCGGGCCGGGCCCGGGGCGGGCCGGGCCGCCGGGCTGCTCACAGCCTGGTCTGGGCCTCGGGGATGTAGATCTCGATGCTGTCGGCGCTCTCGGTGGCCGAGCTGTGGCGGAAGGAGGCGGCGCGCTTGGCCGCCAGGAGCCGCTTGCGCGCTTCCTGCCGCTGCCGGTCCACGGAGTCCAGGGAGCGCTCCTTCACCGGCACGCCCCGGCCCCGCGAGGGCTTCTTTGGTATCGGCGGAGGGACCTTCTTTTCCTCCTGCCGGGACAGAGGGCGGCGGCTCAGGCCCCGGCCGGCGTGGCCTCCCCGGGGCCACAAACGCCGCGTGTAAGGGAACGCGACAGCAGCCACCACGGGTCACCCCGGCCGGGCCCTGAGCCCCGGGTGTGTCGGTGCCGGCAAGGTCAAAGGCTGCGATCGAGCGCCACCTGGCGGTAATTCCGCTCGCGACACCTGGGACCACATGGTCCCCTCAAAAGAGTCTGCAGTAAGCCTTGCTCGCACCCGCAACCCACCACCCCAGACAAAGTCATGGAAGTCCCTACACCACCAGGTCGCAGGGCTCCGTCGCTGACAAGGTCTAGCTGCGCAGCCTCGGGGATGAAGGCCCTACCCCCATGGGCCTAGGCCAGAGAACCGGTGGTCTGCACCCTCTGGAAGTTCTAGTTCTGCTCCCTCAACCCCTAGTAGACCCAAGCTCAGGCAGTGATGAGCACCGAGGTCGAGAGGACAGTCATTCTGGAAGAAGGATGTTACCCATCACCACTCCATAGATGTCCCTGCTGCCCACGGGTCTCTTCTCCTCCTTCCACATCACCCCCCTTCACCCCCTACCCCTACTTCCCCACCTCTCCGGGGAAGAGCACTTTGCAGGGCCCAGCCTGAAGGGGCTACCCACTGTACCTTCTGTTCCAGGAGTTTCCAGCTGTTGGCCTTGAGTTGCTGCAGCTCCAGGAACTTGAGGGTCACATCCTCGATGGAGAGTTGCAGGAGGTCCCAGAAACCCGCCAGGTCCTGGAAGGTGGGCACGGGGAACGCAGTGGGGTCCTGCGTGAGAGGAAGTCAGGGGAGAGACAGTGGGTTGGGGAGGACTGAGCGTGAGCCAGGACTAGAGAGAGCCCCCACCCCACCCCGTGCCTCTTTCTTGTCGGGAAGCTGGGGTGGAAGCTGAAAGAGAGACAAGAAAGTGGAGGCCTCTCCCTCTTGGGTCACAAGCACCTGGTCTCACCTCCAGACACACACACACACACACACACACACACACACACACACACACACACTGGGTTACCTGCCAGGTACACAAAGCCAGTCAGCTTCCTTCAAGGGCACTCACCATGTTTTGCTGGCACAGCCGGAAGAACTGCTGAACCTTCTGGGACAGGAGAAGTTGTGTGCTTCCCACAGCACTGCGAATCTTCTCCAGGACTAGAATGCAGAAGGACCCTCAGAGAAGGGAGTGATGTGGTTCCGCCCGGCCTCCAGGCACCCCCCAACACCTCCCCACACACTCCCTCCCCCCATGACTGTGACTCTTCTGTGCATTGGCACATGGATCCTTTGTCCAGGTCCCTCCCAGTCCCAGCCCCAGCCCCAAACTCCCAACCAGCCACTCCTATCCCATTCCACCAGACATGGGTGCACCTTCCTTCATACAGGCTATACATGCAGAGCTCTCATTCCCCTGCGTCTTTCCTATGCGTGTCAGAGAACACCAGGCCAGCCTTTGCCAGGGAGAGGCGCCAGCTCAATAGCCACCCATTGGCCGGCTTTGGTGACTCTGTCGCTCACCAGTACACAACTACTTTGTCCCTTAAGAACTACCAAATAATCTCCCACCCTTGACACTTGTCTTCCCTGTCGGAACTTGGGAGTCTAGGGCAAAGCTGTGTCTCCCCTCTGACTGGTCTTGCAGGGAAAGACCACACCCTCCCTCAGACCAGGGGCGTGTCTGCCTGGTTGGATCTCCGACCTGATCTCACAGTCATCCACATCCCCTTTCTGCCTTGACCTGCCACTCTTAGTCCTACCACCTGGATTCTCACACCAGCCAGATTGTAGCAATGTCCCCATTGCCACCAAGAGCTTGGTGACTTGAGCGGGTCACCATCGCCTTGAAGGCCCAGCCCTTCTGCCGCCTCAGTTGCCCTTCGCTGCCTCCTTGCCAGAGCTCCCAGCATGGTCTACTGCCAACCGTGGCCCATCAAGCTCCGGTGCAAAAGAGTCCGTACTAAGGCCAACTCATGCCCGGGGCCAAGAGGATCTATCCTGCTGCTGCTCTGCCGCCCACCACCACCAGCTCTCGGGGAAGCTGACCCTGAGACCCCCAGAGCCCCTCCACTCACTCTCCTCCGGCAGCTCATAGTCTTCCGCCTCGCGCTCCATCTGCCGGGACCAGTGCTCCAGCTTCTCCACCTCCACTCGCAGCATCTTGATGAACCACTCGCCATCCCGGGGGCAGGGGGACGTGCGGCCCGAGTCGGGGAGGCTCCGCGAACCGCGCTCCATCCAAGAGTCACGGCGGCCAGCCCCGGGGCCAGGAGCGGGGATGGGGGCAGGGACGGGGGACCCATCGGAGGTCGGTGGCTCGTACGGCAGTGGGTAGCCCTCGCGGTAGGCCCACTGGCCCTGCGTGTGGACGGTGCGGAAGACTGAGTAGGTGGGGGCCCGGGGCCCAGGCTGAGGCTCAGAGGCGTGTCTCTGGAAGGAGCGCCCGAACTGCAGGGCCTTGTCTTCGGTGGCGACTGTGGCCAGACCAGCCAGGCCCTCCAGCTCCAGGTCTGCCTGCACGCCTGCCGTCACGCTGTTGGAGCGCTTGAACCTCGCCCGCCTGATGAGAGAGGTGGCTGTCATCTCTGACAAGACTGGTCTCATCCCAGCCCTTGTCCCTACCCCAAGCCCAAAGGGAAAGGAAGCCTACAAAGTGATGGGTATTAATCCACACACTGTAAACAGGTCAGTCCTAGCAGCGGGTAAGTACGCGATCTCCCTACCTGTTGCACCGCATGGGCAGAACAGACGCGGGCATACATACACCAATTAGGACAGGCTGAGACCACGGTGCTGAAGCGGCGGGGCCTGACAGAAGCTGGACTGTGGGCTAGACCAGAGAGGATCCAGAGAACTGGCTAGTCCTCAATGAAGCCATAAAGATTTCACTATTTTCATAAATGAGACCGCTGTGCTAGTATGCCCTCCAATCTGTCAAGAGGTAAGTCAACTGTGGCAAGAGAGGGCTCTGACCACCCAGCTATAAAACAGCAGAACCAGAATTTGGACCCAGGTCTGCTGGGCTGCCCAGCCCACCCCTTAAGCCCCCTTGCACCAGCGGCTAGCCCACAAGAAATGCCTTGCTAGAAAGGGGGCTGGACCCGCAGTAAAGGAGGGATCCACTCCACCCCCTCAGCCCAGAGTTTGGTCAGCCACCGCAGTGGTACTGAATTAAGTTGTTAACAGAAATTTCTTGTCTTTGAATTAATGATATGCAAAACAGAACGTCAGTTGGCTTTGTTCTTTTTCCACTGGAGTTCAGAATAGGAGCACTCCCACCCCCACCCCCCGTGTGAAGTCCATTCCTGACCCCCCCATACCTCACCCACCTCCCACCCACCCCAGTACCCCATACATCAGACTGGGGCTAGACGTTGCTTTAAAAAATGGGAGTCAGGGGTGGGAGTTCAAACCAAAGTTTAAGACCTAGAAATTCATAGATCAAAAAGAAGATCCATGTCTCCTAAGCTACCGTCACCCACATAAGGGCCAAGGCCAGAAGAGGGAGAGGCTTGGGGGTCCGTTCTAGGATCCCCTACATCATTTCAGGGATTCCCTCCATCCCACCCCACAATTTGAACCTTCCTCTTGCTGCCCAGGCCTTACTGCTTGCCTGTCTGCTTCCCTCCAGCTGGCGGGCTGCCTGCTGGGAGCTTGTTGCCATAACAACCAGGCCCAGAAGGATGCTGCAGGACCCAGGAAAGAGATGCACTCGTGTGCAATCTCCAAAGAGCACTATGTCCCAGCCCCCACCCAGATAGAGAATGCATTTGCATTGCCTCCCACGTATACCACCCTGCCCTGGTCAAGATTTGCAGCATCCTCTACCTTGACTACTAGACTGGCCTCCTTCCGGTACCTTTGTCTCCACTCTGTGCAGCACAGAACTATGAATCAGACCGGAGCTCCATCTAGGCCAACGCTTTATTTATTTATTTATTTATACATACAAACATAGAAAAGTGTGTGTGTGTGGGGGGGGGACTAGCAATTGCCAACATGCCTCGTTAGCTCAAAACCTTGCATATTTTAAGATCTGGGACCCATCAGTCTAACCAAGACCAGAGTGTCATCGTAAAACTGAATTCAAACCCTTGTTCAAAATCCTCTTGTTGTTCCCGCTGCCAACAAGATAAAGTTCAAACTTCCTAGCCTAGCATTCATCTGAGGCCCTTATACTTCTCTCCAACCTCAGGCCCCTGCATTTTATTTTCCCTGTCCTCCAAGTATACGTTGTCCTGACTCTAAGCCTTTGTACAGCCTCGTCCCACCTGAAGTGGCCTTCCTTCTTTTTGCTTCCTGTCCATTCCTGGGATCAAGTTTCCTCTTGCTCTGAGAACCTTCCTGACTATCCCAACACCGATCTTCCACAATCTCCATGCACATAGCAGCAGCCCACCTTATTTGGTTAAATTGTTCTCTGTTTCTGATGAAAGGCTTCTGTGTCTAGCAGAATTGGAAGGATGTACCTTGGCTCCCTTTGAATATGTTGGTGCCTCTGAGCTCCTGTTGTCTGTTGGTTCGTTTGGAGCTCCAGCAGTTGCAAATCACATAAGCGAAGATGAAACATACCCTGATAAATACATTATTTAAGATCTGCTGTCCTTGCTTGCTTTCCTGTTGCCACCAGTAAACACAGACCTGGCTTTTGGTACCAGTGAATTTGCTGCCTTTCACTGCGTTCCCTGAGAGGTCCTGAGAGGATCACATGCTGTCTTGATGGAAACAGGCCACAAAGTCCAGAACAGAAGTACAAATTCCCCAGGGATTTCATGGCTCTCAAGTTGGTACCCAACTGAGCTCCCTGCATCTGCTTCAAGGAAGACGTTGAGGAGCTTATGAGATTTCTGGGAGCACCGTTGTCACTAACACTTCCAGCCTGGTCCGGACGTCTGCACAGCACCCGCAGGAGCGAGTCATCCTTGCATAAGTGGCATTTAAAACCAGCAGTCTGGGACAAGGTTTCCCCCAAAAAAGTGGATGAGAAAAGTAATGGGTCCAAGAAAAGTGAAAAAAGGTATGTTTCAAAGATTAAATTAAAGAGAACAAAAACCAGTCCAAAGCCCTAGGGAATGCAGACATTTTCAGCAGCAGGTAGAGTCTAAGGGAAAGAAGATGATCAAGTAAACCGGGGGGAAGTGATCTAATGGCAGAGAGGAGAGATGAGGATCTCGTAAAGAAATGGACACCAACCACAGCTGGTGCAGACAGAAAGTGTCCGCTGACTTGGCGATCCAGGACCCAGAGGTAACCAAGGCTAGTAGGACTATGGGAGAGTGGTGGGAGCAGACACAGATCATGGTGGGCTCTGAGGAAGTGGAGGAAACCAGTGAAGTCATCGTTTTCAAGAAATTTTTCAGCAAAGAGGATGCACCACAAAGGGAGGGACCCTGTATTTAAAAGAAAAGCCTGCTGATCTACTTCCGTAAAGACTACAGGCATTGAAAACCCCATGGGGCACAGACCGACTCTGACATACATGGAGTCATCATGAGTCAGCATCAACTCCATGGCAACTGGTTTGGTTTATTTTGAGATGGTTCCTGAGCCCCACTGTCTTGAAGGGAAAGAACCTACGGGGTCAATAAAAGGAACCCTCAAAGAGATCCGTGTCCTAATCCCGCCTAGAGCTGCCCTTGCATGGCATCTGAACAGATTACTTGATGGATAGGTTATCTTGCCTGACAAAAGGCACTTTGCAGGTGTGATTCAGAAATGGGGAGATTAGCCTATGTGATCCAGTTGGAACCAATGGGATCACTCACAAAACCCGCTGCCAAAGAGAGGACTGCAACTCATAATGATCCTATAGACGGAACAAAGTAAAATTGGCTCCTTAGGGTTTCAGAGACTGTGCCTCTTTAAGGTGTCAAACTGCTTCATCTTTCTCCCCTTGAGTGGCTGGCACACTTGAACTTCTGACCTTCAGTTATAGTTGAGTGCTTAACCCATGAGGCCACCAGGGCTCCTTAATGTCATCACATGAGTCATTTAATGTGAAAGAGGAACCAGGAAGGCCAGAGAGTGAACATGTAATAACAGAAGCAAGGTTAGAACAAAGCAATGTGAGAACTCAGCCCCCCATTGCTGCCTTTGACGATGGAAGCCAAGGAAGATGGAGAGTCTGGAGAAGCTGAAAAGGCACCTGCTCTCCCCTCCAGCATCCGGAGAGAACAGGTCGGTCCTGCCAACCACTGGAGTTGAGGCTCGTGACACCCAGTTCAGATTTCTAACCTGCAGAACTTTAAGAGAATACACTTGCGTTGTTTTAAGCCACCAAGTTTGTAGTGATAGGTTTCAGCAGCAATAGGACACTAATGGGCTACCAGAAAAGGAGTGATAAATAACGAAAAATAAATCCTCACTCCTCATAGGCTTTCGCTCTGTGTCACCCGTCAGGCCTGGTAATGAACTCATTCCTCGCGCCTCAATTTTCAGCCAAACAATAAGCAGGTCTGTAAGGCAAACAATGACACAAGGGAGGTATTCACTCCTTTAAAGCAGGGAAATAGTTCAGAAGGCAGGAAGAGGTGGGCAAGGAGGAATGGAAACCGGAAGCACAAGGAGGACGTGGGATGGGTGACGTTATTTTGGAGGGATTGCAATCAATGATATGAAACAAAATGTGTATGGGAGTGATGTATTACTTTGGCTCCTCATGTCAGCTAGGATCAAATTGTTAAGGGGGCTGCAGGAGGGGTGTTGACTATTGAGTGACTACCATGCAAAGTTATGACGAGGTCCCCCAGCAGGTCGACATCCATATCACAGGGATGAGGGATACTAATGGGAACGTCAAATCAGGAGGGGGGAAGGGAGAGGACACATCTAGGGGAGCACAAATGTATGTCTGTTGGTAGGTGGGGGCGGGGGGAGCAGGGAATAATGAAAAATACTTTTAAGGACCCTGAGGGGGGACTATCCCTAGTACTATGCACCAAATAAACCACATTGGCCTGAGTTTCTGGGCGCATCCTGGGGACCCAAGCCAAGTGCCCCAGAACACTGGGGCAGTGAATCCTGGGCCTTCAAGGGGAACAACACGCTCCAAAGGCCGCACCAGAGAGCCGATGCGGAAATTCCACGCGGTGAAATGGACCCCGCCTCAAGCACACCTGAACCTGAGGACTTCAGACTGAAACTCCACGGTGTTTGAAGAGGCAGAGGATGGCTATGCCAAGATTCTTCATCTGTCGGTAGATGCACAATCATTGACTTACTACATCAATGCCCTATACACTGTATCAAGATGTATATTATTCCTGCAAACCTGTGACTGACATTCTCAGTGAATATTATTGTAAATTTTCCCTGACAACCAACTCTCATTGTTTGTGTAAATAGAGTCCAGCCATGAAAGGATTAATTTTGCATAGGTGAATAATTCAGGTAGTGTGATATGGAGTTAGCCTATATTCCCCCAATATCCCTCTCTCAGCAGTGCTTTTAAAAATTAGTACCAGGAGCTAATCAATGACAATAGTAACCAAAGATCTTTATGCCCCAGGGATATTATTGATAAGACTCTCTACCATAGATTCACAAGGAGGTCTCCATAGG